TTAGGTTGCTGCTCTACAGTCTGGTTTCAGTGGCTTGCTAACTGGATTATCATATGGATTGTGCGGAGCTGTCACAGTCCTATTTTGCTGGAACTACTACATCAGTTTGGGAGGTGGCTTTCCCAGCTGCTTCCCCTGGCAGAACTTGTATTTACCACCTTTTATAGGAGATTGTCAGAAGCTGACCAATATTACACTCTGGGTCATTTAGGGCATGTCTACACTGCAAAGACCCCAGTGTGTCTCAGTGCCTGTGTCAACTGACTCCGGCGTGTGCTACAGGGTTAAAAATAGCAGTGTAGATGTTCCCGCTCGGGCTGGAGCCCCGTCTCTGAGACTCACCCATATCACCAGTTTTCAGGGCCCAGGCCCAGCCCGCTACGTGGCTATTTTTAGCCTCGTGAGCCAGAGTCAGTTGACGCAGGCTCTGAGATTCACAGCCACAGCATTTTTTGTAGTGTAGATGTATTCTTAAACAACTTGATGAGCTCTAAGAGAATGAGCCTGGAGCTATGAGGCAGGCAGGCCCCTGTTCTAACCCCACAACTGCCACCAACTCCCTGGGTAGTCTTTGACTAGCCATGTCTCTTCTTTGCCCCAACTGCAGCCCTTGTTATAGGGAGGCAGATGAGATTTTTCTGGAGGCTAGAGTGGTTGTGAGGATCAATTCAGGTTTGTATGGCACTTTGTCCAAGGAAAGCACTAGCCCAGGGGTGGGAAAAATCCAACTCATCTAACATTTCTGTCCAGCTTCCTCTGCCCCCTTGCTATCTCTGAGTCTGGGTTGCCAAAAGTTCCACAGGGCAGTCAGGGGACAGGGAGCGAGGTGGGGGAGGGTTGGATAGGGGGTGGTGGTTAGGGGCAGGAGGTCCTGGGAGGGAGCGGTCAGGGGACAAGGAGTAGGGGGGTTGGATGGATGGGAGGTTCTGAGGGGGGCAGTCAGGGGATGGGAAGTGGGAGGGGGCGGATAGGGGGCCAGACTGTTTGGGGAGGCACAGCCTTCCCTACCCGGCCCTCCATATGGTTTTGGAACCCCAATGTGGCCCTCAGGCCAAAAAGTTTGCTCACCCCTGCTCTATGTGCTGCTGTGGCAATTTTGGGTGAATGGACCACTCCACAGGCAGGGCTGATTTAGGCCACAGCTTACCTCTAGCAATTGCTCCTGGTTGCAGCCTATTGAAGACCAGGCCTGGCCATCTTCAAGATGCAGCACAAGACTGATTGAAAGCAGGTCTTTCAAAGCTCCTCTTTGTTACGATTTCCAAAGCTAAGACCTACTGGACACAGTTACACTTCGTAGTCTGTACTGATCATGTGTAGCTCAGGAGAGCCCACCTCCTTCCCTAACGTTAGGCAGAGATGAATCACAGCAGCAGCTGGGCATGTTGCTGCCAACGTTCACAGCTGCTAAAACGTGAGAAGGTTCATGCTACCAAAAATACAGGTACATTTTAACCCCAGCTCATCTCTGCAGCCAGTGTCCTCCCCCAGCCAGCCAGCCAACAATACCATTGTTATGAGTCAGGGAGGTTAACCTCTCCGACCATGTGGTCTAATTTGCACTGGCTACAGGACTGGGTAATGTGCAACACAAATGGCTCCAGGATTACAACTTTTTTCGCATAGTATATCTTTACATAGCATTAAGGATACTCAGCAATTAAACTTCACCTAACTTAAAACCAATTTCAATCACTTAACACGAGAATTTAAAACAGATGGACAATCATTTATTTATTTATTAAAGAATGCAAAACATTATACTATCCAAAGATGCATTATACAGAAACCGTGCTCAGAAGAGGCAAACGGGATATCTGCATGGCACTGACACATTGTCCATAGGAAGGAAAAGATGTTTTATGGCTGTTGAGGCAGATACGTCTACTAACTGCCATCTCTTTCTTTACCACAATGCTATTGTTTTACAAGCAAGCAAGACTTTCCCCTTAGCACTCTAACCAGTATAACTAAAATAAATCACCTGAGATTATGTGCTTAATGCATTCTATATTACCAAAAAATTAGCTAGGGTTTCAGTGTGTGACAGTTTCCCATACAGTAATTGTAAATAAAAATACACACAGCTAGACTGAAAAGCATAAAAACAATTCTCTAGTTACAGTATCTGTTGCACTTAGTGACCCCCCTTTGCCCATGTTACAAGTCAGCCATACAAATGTAGAAAATGGACAGCAAAAGCCCCTCAAGCTACAGAACACTCATTTTAATTATAAAACCCACATAATTGTGTGCATTGAAAATTCACAGCAAGTTCTGCTTTCTCCTGCTGGCTGTATTTCAAAGTCAATATTAGAAATAGCACAGACATCAGCTTGTCCCAGGAAAAGAGCTTTTCAGATGGCAAATAGGAAACAGTTTACTGTTTGATATTAAGAGATCACATTTGTATTGAGTCGGTACAAATGTGTTTGGAGAACCGACATTTCTTCTAATAGAAGGGAATTTCCACTAAGGGAGCTGACAGTAAGTGGGCTTAAGTCTACAGACAATGTGCCAAATCCTCAGGACTGAGGGGGCTTCTTTGTCTGCATTACCAGTGTAAGCCTCCCACGAGGGTGGCTTACTTGGCCCAGAAGGATCACTTGAGTGTAGGGGTGATTCTCAGGCAGTGTAGAGTTGATGGAGGGCTGTGGCTGGAGAAAAGGGAACATGGCTGCTGATTCTGGGCTCTGTTTTTGGCCTCTTGTGGCCACTGCAACAAGGCTCGAGTTTGTTAGAGCAGTTTGAGGTCTGCTCTAACACAGAGGGCTAGGGGATAGAGTCATACAGCGCTACGATCAGGCCTCCTTTCCACACCACCCTGACCTGTGCTCTTTGGCCATTCCAGAAGATCCGGCTCTTTATGTATATATTTAGTATTTGGATAGATACTCACGCTAGTTAGTATATCAACATGCTATGCACTCAGCATGTTACAACAATTGCAATGTTTGTAAGCACTTCTCAGAATTCTCTCCTGCCTCTAAAGTGGCAAGATCTAAAGTGACAACTGACAAGCAGAGATCTTACCCTTCAGAAATGCCCTTCTGCCCTAGGTACTGTACTATCCAAGGACCAGATATGTTGTCAGTGGCATAAAGTCACTCAAATATCCTGAATCCATTTAGATTGCTCCCCTACTCACATATACAAACCCTGAAGACATCCCTCTGCAATATTAATGCCACGTCTACACTATGGGGTTATATTGGCATAACCCCAGGACTGTAATTATTCCAGCATAATGGCATAACCTCATAGTGTAGACACAGCCTATACTCATGTGGAAGGGATTTTTCCCATCGGTGTAGGAACACTACCTCCCTCTGCAACAGTAACTAGGTCAATGGAAGCATTCTTCACAGAAAGCTTGGTCTGTGAAAACATTGTTAAATCACATACTGTTAGGATATTTGGTTTTCCTGAGCATTTAGATGGCTCAGATGTTTAGTTTCCTTCATGGTTTGAACCAATTTGGGGAAGAAGATTTGAGCCAACTTTGAAAAGTGTTCAAGTATCACATTTAAAAAGTCCTCTGGCTTCTGTCTCTTTGTTCTGCACATTGATATCCCAGAGATACACCAACCTGCTTTGTTTGCAAGGGAGTCCGGGCAAACCAAGGTCTCATCCCACACAGTGCTGAGCCTTCCCTGACGTCATGGTGAGTGAGGTGGTAAGTTCCTCACATAATTTTGCCCCTGGTTAGAAGCAACAATCCAACTTTGGGTTGTGATAAACATGAATTGTTTTCATGTATTTTGATTTACAGAGATCAGGACTGGAAAAACAGGGTCTCCCTTTCTCATTCTTGGGTGGCTGGCTGTTTTGCAGATGGTTTCACAACTATCTCCTTATTGCTGTTTGGTTTTAATGCTAATAAAAGGAAGAACACAAACAGAAGACTGAATTCCCCAGACAATACATTGGGGTGGGGGGAATGAATGTAACGTATGTATTCAGAAGTCTGCAACAGACAGACAAATTACTTCTAGTTCACTTCCCAATTACACACTGGTATTGTTCTGTCACATCAGTGGCATAAGGGCTTCATCACCATCTATCTGGCTTTAGTAAGAGTGATGTGTGCTGATACCAATGAAGAATTGTTCCAATTACTTCCCTGGAAAAGGGAGAGACCTGCAGCCTAATATCCTACCCACACAGAGCAGGAAAACAACTGTCTTTGAAAAGCACAGTTAACGGCCACTGATTCACCACAGTAGCAAGTTCTATGTAATTCCAGTTTGGTTTCTGATGGCAGCAGCTGGCTCTGTGAATCAAAGCTGCAGATGGTTTGAGTCTCAGATATGATTTACCATGAAAGTGAAATTAGCGATAGATTCCTTGGGAGAAGGGATTTTTGCAGGTACTACTGGGATGCTGCTAGAACTGTAACTGACAGGAGTTTGGTTATACAGTCATGAAAGAGATGGAGATAATGTCAGAGCATAAAAATGACCAGCTGAACAGCTTAACACTCAACTACAAGTGTCTGGCAGGTAACTACAGAGCTTCAGATCTGATATAATTACCACCAACAGAAATTTAGTTCACATTTTTTAGGGGGGATAAGCATGGCTTTTACACTGAGAAGTTACTGTCTTACACAATCAAGAAGTTATCGACTTCTAACGACATAGCTCACATAGGTGGCTGTCTTCGTGTCTTGTTCTACAAGTGTATGTAATTAATGAGGCAACCAATGGTAATTTATAAACCTGAGAATTTTTTTCTGAAGATTTTGGTCAATTATACCATAGCTGTCAGGCCATAAATTTGGAAGAGATTTTCTGAAATCTTGTCAAAAATATCATCACACAAGGAGTTAGCAAAACACGCAATCTTTTTTCTACACTAAGAACTTTGAACATTATCAAAGACACTTTAATTCCAATTAAAGTGCAGCATTCTGCTGACAAAACATAAGCAAAGCAAAGATATCAGCCACCTATGTAGATGAAGATAGTGATTTTAAAGAAGCAAGAATTAGCCTGTAATTTGAGAAATTAAAAAAAAGTGAAACTTTGTGATTTTTATTTGAGTGATAGATTTTATACAGAAAAATATCAGAACTAGTCACTAATTCTCGCAAACCATAAATGCATGAATCGTATGAAATACTGATCACTGGTCCAACTCAAGTATTCAGCATATGATCTAGTAGTTTGAACAATTAAAGGAGCGTTCTTGATTAGGTCCAGTGTAAAATATTAACCTTTTGGCTAAGGTCAATGATCGCTTCAATTTACACGGATATATTCTCCTTCCAGGGGACAGGAGGGAAAAGTAACACCATGGATTTGCACACGATGGGCTCAACCTCTTTTTAATCCCTCACTTGTAAAAATCTTATTACAATGGATTTGGTTAGTTTTCTCTACTGTACGGAATTCATAGTCCAAGGCACAGAAATAAAAAGGTGCTGTAATTAAATAGGGGAAATAATGAATGAAACACCCTGCATTAGATAATCCAAAGGAATGACAAAGACTGAGTATAAATGGGGATTCAAAGCATGACGTACCATGTCTGTCCCAAAGAAGCCCAATGCTTTTAAATGTGAACATCCTATTATCTACGTGGTGGCAAACTGCACAGAAAACTCACTGAAGAAACAGCTTGTTTAGTCTGGATTTCCAATACGTCACAGAAATCAGGACCTTCTTCTGACATGACACAGCAGAAGATAGATAAATATATCAGCTCACAAAAAGACCCAACATATAGAGAGGTATGGCTGGAAATCATGCATTCCTTCCTCTGCTAACACAGTGGTCGTGAGAGGCATTTCTAGCACATAAGCATTCCATTAGTCCCCTACTGCATATTTTGTTTCAGTGTCATATAAACTATAGTCACAGTTTACTTTCGAGGTGTCAGTGTTTAAAATCAGTGCATTCTTTAAAAGTAATTAACTATTACAATGTAGGGAACATAGGGTCTCTTGTAGAAAAGCCTTTTTGAAATCAAATTAATCCAGGAACATTTTGCTCTCGTTGTGGCACTGGGACAGGTTTCTATGGAGTCCCTGTGTGGCCAATAGAGAGTCAAGAAAAGATCATTAGGTTACTCACAACATTTTGGCCAAGAAACAAGAGGGAAATTTGTCGGACAGATCCTAATAATAAAAAGTGCGTCAATCAAGGGCAGCAGAAAATCCTTTCCCCGTTGTTGCTGGAATGAGCCATTATTCAAAGATCGCTGGGCATTAGCAAATTACTTTTGAGCGTTGCTTTTGTTATAAATGAGGAAGTCAGAAATGTCGTGCCATACATTACTGTCGTCATACAGGTAAGTCATGGAAGACTGCAGAGAAGGTTGGAGAGTGTGCCGATGATATTCAAAGAGCCACAGAACAATCCCCCAAGTCACAGCAGCAAAGATCGGGAAAGGGTCCTGCTTGGGTTCTGGGATATAACCTTTCTCCACTGCCAGTCGGGACAAGCCAAACAGAATACGAGACAGCAGGTACATGTTTATCTACATAAAGAGAAAACCCAAGGAATATTAGTTTAGTAACATGGCTAGCAAAACTGACCAAATCAAGCAACTTGGAAGTTAAAGACAGAAAAGGTTATTAGCTGACCATAGTTTACTAGCTAATTGCTTTCAACATTGTAGTGTGTGTTTGTATCCTCCTAACATGATTGACACTCTAGTTCTGCTGAGCAATAGGTTTCATCTGGTACAACATCTATCACTTGGAAGATCAGTTGTATTAGCAGTAGATGCTGCTGCTAATACACTTCACAAGGTGGCGTGAAAGAGCTCAGTCAATTGGCTCTGCATCTTCATTTTAAAATCCAATTTAGATAAACTGCATGGGCACACTTATATCGGTTTCATACCGTTTATATTGGAATAACCTGAAACTGTACATTTTACTACGTCAGTTAAACAAATATAAGGCAGGCTAATCAAATTAAGCGTGTCCAAAGAGAGTTCTGTGGCAGTTCAGCTATATCAGTTTCAAAACACAACTTCAGTTAAACCAGTGCAAGTTTGTGCATGTCCAACGAGTCAGTGGCAGAACTGGGAATACAAGGCAGGTCCCCTGGCTCCCAATGCTGTGTGCACTACCCACTGATGCAAACTGTTTTCCTCTAGGCTTTGACAGTAAGTGAGCTATATATGAAGAGTGGCCATATCACATTACAGCATCACTTACCGCATCAGTCTCTTTTTGTTTTTTAAATCCTAGTCAAAGTAGCTGGTACACAACATGATGTTGTTTTTTTGGCAAGGTCAGAAAGATCAAACTCCACAAATACATTTGTTTACCTGGCTGTTGATATGATTGTTTTCACCAAACACTAACCAGCCCCCAACACAGGCTGCCACGAAGGAGTGCAACTGAAAGTTCTTTCCCTGTAGTCGGGATTGCAGCGCCATCAGCCCCTTGTAAGTGAACACAAAATACGCCAAGTTTCGGGAATGAGTGTATGTGGCCTGAGCAATCGCTTTCAGTTTCTCTCTTAAACTGAGCAAAGGAACAAACAAACGTTAGTAAAGCAATAACGTGATCATCACATTGTTCACTCTGCTGGTACCTTGTCTACTTAGACTAAAGTTTTTGGGTCAAGAAGAATCTACCACTGTGTGTACAGGACCTGGCACAATGGGGCCTATTCTTGGTTAGGCCGTAGACACTATTGTAATACTTTTCTTTTCTGAATGGGCTCAACAAAAACAAAGCTGTGAGGATGGCTCATTTCACTGCTAGGTCACTGATCAGAATCCAGTCTAGGTCTCTGTGTACACTAATGATTTACCATCATTCCAGAAATTGACAGCCAGCCATTGGAACAGCTGCATCAGCAAAACTACCTGGTGGCTTTCCTTGTCTACACAATTTGCACTGGTGCAGTTTAACCCTGCTTGAAACAAGGTAAGCCCCACTGGGGCTAACGGCAGTTCTCCTTGTCCGCCCAAGTTACTGTACTGGTGACTGGCCCTCTGGGAAAAATCCCCAATACTGTATAACCAAGGCCTAGCTCAGCGCTGAGATATCAGCTTCCTGAACCTCTGAAACAACAGGCTGCATTCTGCTTGTCATTTGCATTTTTAAAAAGTCACACTGTGAGATTTTCCCATTTAGTTATGAAAACAAGTATTTGATCTGAACATGTCTGGTGTTTTCAAAGGGTTCACTTTTAAAAGATGGATGGCTGTAGCATGCTCTCATCCTTACAGAGAATGCTAGAAAGGAAGAGCTGTCTGTACCTTCCACTCTTGAAGAGAAAGGTCATCACCAGAGCATGGGGGGCACGGATCTTTGCTCCATAGCTGCAAGAGAAAAATTATTATATGCATACACAATGTTTTCAGAGGCTTTTTATTACTGTAAGCCAACTACTGATCTTTTAATCCATATATTATAGTGGAAATAAACCACAAGTCATTGGTTGATCAGCTTAAATCAATTTCAATACATCGCCTGATAATTCAATCAATGGGTCGGTAGCTTTATTTTTTATTTATACAGTATTTACAGCCAAACAGCCACAGGCTAAGAAACTGTAACTTAAAAATAACGAAGGTAATCAGACATAACACATTCCAAATGGGAATAAAACCAAACCACCTCAACTGAAGTAAATAAATGCTAGCTCTGAGCACTTGAAAAGGGGCATTAGCCACTTTACAAAAAAAAAAAAAAAAAAAAGGTTATGAATGCATCTATAGAGCCCTGCACAGATACAAAATTTGTATCTGATCTGCAAAAATGATCCGTGGATAGCTGCAGATTTGCAGGGCTTTAGATAAAACATTGGGATCCACATCCATCCGCGATCCGCGGAGGAGAGAGCGCCCCTCTCCCAGCTACAGCCCGGAGGGGGACGGGGACGGGGGCGAGCTCCTCCCCCGCACAGGCACAGCCCGGGGAGGGGGAGGAGGGCCCCGCACCATGGTACGGCAGGAGGTACAAGTGTGCCCCGGCTTACACCGCTCCGTTCCGGAAGCCCTTGAGCACGGCCAGCGCCGCGCGGTATCTGCGCTGCTGCAGCAGGGAGTTGACGGTGTAAAGCAGGGTCTTGAGCATCGCCTGGGCCCCCATTGCCGCGACGCTCCGACCGGCGGGCCGCTTCGGTAGCGCGCAGAGCCAATGGGAACTCTGGTAAACAGGGTCCGTGCGGAAAGCAGACGCCACCAAGGAGAGGTTCCGCATCCGCACAGAGCGAGCTCAGTCCATCACACTCGCATAGGCTGCCTCAACTGTCCATCAAACCTCCTGACTAATGGGAGGCGCTGCCCTGCCCCTTCAAGGCGGAGATATCGAAAGTGATCTTGCGATTGCGAAAAGGTCCCTATACTGCAGCCAATCACAGATTGCCCCACCTCCAGGTCTGTTGCTATTGGCCAGAGCAGAAACTACCCTCTTCCAATGGGGGTTGTTGCTCTGGCTGGCTGGCAGCCAGCGAAGTGGATCTTTCGCTGTCTTGCGGGGCTGGCGGTGGGAACTTGGAGCTCCATCCCTGGATCCTAAGGCGTGTCTCAGTCACTGGGGTCCCCGGCCCATCCCACCAGCGCAGCCTCTGCTGGGCCACAGGCATAGCCGGGGAGAGTCGGGCTGCGATGCCCCAGGCTCCTGTCCTGTGTCTGACCTGGCCAAGTACCAGTCGCTCAGGGCACGGCACAGAAACCTTGTGCTGGGCATGAAGGGAATAACCTGTCCCAAGAGAAGTCTCTTCCTAACCTCTGCCACTTAGTGATGGGTTTGTGGCCTGACATAAGAGATGTTTCAGAGTAGCAGCCGCTCCTGACATAAGAGAGTTTAGCGTCCTTCTAAAAGAAAAGTATTCTCTCCAGTATAACCACTGATGGTCTCATTACATGTCTGGTCTTTTTTTGAATTCTATGAAACACATTGGCTCAATGTTGCCCAGTAGCAGTGAGTTCCACAGGGTAATTGTGCATTGTGTTACACTCCCCTGGCTGACACCCTGAGAGCGAAGGGCTACGAGGTGCAGATGGACACCCTGATTGTCGGAGCCCTGGGCGCCTGGGACCCCTGCAACGAGTGTGTGCTGTGGACCTGCGGGATCAGTCGATGCTATGCACGGCTCATGCAGCGCCTCATGGTTTCAGACTCTATCCGATGGTCCAGGGACATCTACACCGAACACATCACCGGCCACCGACAGTACCAGGAGGCGTGAGCCGGAGTGACATCATGCATCGACTACGAGAAAGGGACTGAGAGACTTTGTCCATTGAACCATATGAACAGGAACCATAAACTCACTGAATGTTAAATCTCACCAAATGAGGGTCAATCCATCCTCGTCATTGTATCCTCTCATTATACTCCACACCTGAACATAGCCATTATATGAACAACATATCCTCATATCTCAATGTCTGTCCTTTGACCCATTAACCTTTTACCCCTAATCGGGGATATTGCAGATTATGTATTCCTTATGCCATCTGATCTTAAACCGAATTTTGCACCCCTTGATAATCTGTACGTTATTCCCTGATAACCAGAAACTTCTACACTTAAGCTCTATACCGTTCACTTTCTTTTTAAACATCATCTTAATAAAAAAATTTAAACCTGAAAAGGTTGTCTTTTCGTCAATTTTAAATGTATTCGTTCTCTCTAGGCTTGGCAGAATCTGATTTTTATTTTATTATAATTTTGACAGATAATATCAATGTTTATTTTTAAGCATATTTTTAGATTAATTTTTTGTAGTTGTGTAGAATTATTGGTTTTAAGCTTTTATTTTTATCTATTTACATTTTCACAGTTGTAGGAAATTATGGAAGGGGCAGATAATAATTAATGACAGTAAATGCTGAGATTCAAAAAGTTAAAGTTTTATAAACTCTTAAAACAAACTATTAAAAGTGGCAACATCTATCATGTAAATGGGGCCTAAATTAGGAACACCCAAAGTGCAGCCAGAGGGCCAAATATAATCATTTCAGGATTCTTAAAGAGATCATATTTAGCTCTCAGGTTGAACTAGAGTGACCAGATCACCCAAGTCAAATATCGGGACGCGAAGGGGAGTGGGGCGTGGCGGGAGTGGGCGTGGCGGGGCAAAAAAAACAACAACACACACACCCTTCCTCCACAAGTGCTGGAGGGAGGCCCGGGAGACGCAGGGGAAGCGCGGGGCCAGGGTGAGTGAGAGTCCGGCCTGGCCCCAGTGCAGGCAGGACTCAGTCGGGCGGTAGGGAGAGTAGGGGGGTGGCCCGCGGGGCCAGGCGGCGGCTGTTCTCCCCCCCGGGCAGCGGGACTCCGGAGCAGCCGCTGCTGCAGCTCCCACTGCCGCGGGGGGAGGAAGTGGCCGATGGCCAAGCTCGGCGGCTGCGGCTCTGGCGCCTGGGCCCGAACCCCCCGAGCCCGGGCCTGCTGCGGGGACCCAGCAGCGCCCACGCTGCGCCCAGCCCCTGGCCAGTCGCGTCTGGGCTGGCTGCCCAGCTGGTGCTATCCCGCGGGCGGCCCCAGAGTGGGGGCAGCAGGCCCCAGCCCCCCCGTCCCACTTCCGGGCTCCGGAGCATTTCCTTGTTTGTCCAGTGTCCCAACCGCACATCGGTCGGGACGCGGGACAAACAAGGAAATATTGGGACAGTCCCGATAAAATCGGGATGTCTGGTCACCCTAGGTTGAACATTTGTCATCCTCTCTCTATAACTGCCGTTTTTTACTGCTTGAATGGAACCAACAAGCAATTTCTGTTCAACGGGGAAAATACACACATCAGCAAGTATTCTAGTCCTGGGTATCTATTTTTACTAACAGTAAATGTAGCTGATACTGTTCTTGAGCTCCTTGGAAGCCGTCACTGCATCACTTGTTAGTGCTTTGTTGGACATCCCTCCACTAAGGGCCAAATGCTGGTCCTATTAAGGCCGCTGGGACTTTTACCAGTGACTTCAACAGGACCAGCATTTGACTCTAAATGGTCAAGCTGTAGCCTGAAGGGTCCTTCCTGGTGGCCAGCATACTGAAATATTTTGAGAAAGAAGCAGTGGGGGACGGGTGGTGGGAGGGAAGCTGGGTTTTTCACAAAGTGGTCTGCAAAATGAAGCAGTTTGAGATCTCCTATATCATTCACGGACAGCAAACTATGTTAAAATAGAACCAAGGTTGAGAATGTATGTATTAGTTAAGGGTAAATAACATTACAGGAATGCTGTACTTATCCCAAAACCAAGCATTATAAATCTTAGCATTATTCAGAATTAAGGTTAAACTTAAAAGAAACCCAAACATGTTAAGATAAGAAATGCACAGTTAAGACACCCAAACAACCTTAGCTCTGCTCTGTAATGACATGATGCAGTAACCACAATTATGATTAATGCTCTTTGGTGGTTGTAGTTCCCTTCATGCTATCACTAGAGGGCACAGTAGTTATTATTTCAAGCACTGACACCCAAGCTAATATGCAGCCATAGAAGCTGGGTCTTAATCTACCAATGAGAACTTTTGACACACATGTCCAGTCTCACTCGACTGAGTCATTACAACCAGTAGACTTGTTGAATGTCAATTAGCTGTACAGGAGGGGCGGTTAAACTATATAGGCTATCACAGTGACTCCAATTAAAAATTACCTGAGTTGTTGTCTTGAGCTTGTCTGTAGCCAATACAATTATAGTAATTAGATACAATTGCTGATCACTTAGGGTGGGATCTCTAGAATGGGGCTGCAGTGTGCATGCTTAGAGGCTGAAACATCTGCATCTAGGGATTTGTACTATAAAAACGTAGGCGCCGAGCAAATTTAGGTACCTACAGGGTTAGAGAATGAGCAGGAGTTCTATGGATTGCAGTGGCGCCTAACAGCAGGACTCAGGCATTTAAGTACATTTGTGGATCCCACCCTTAGCCTATTTATACCTCAATTTCCTCAAATATAGCCTATGCACAAGATCTGTTATGTTTAACCATATGGAACCTCTGAAGTCTGTTATTCCATTTTTAAGATCATTCAAGATAAAGGGCCTGTTTTTTAAAGGTATGTAGGTGCCTAAAGATGCAGATAGGCACCTAGTGGGATTTTCAAATGTGCCTAGGGGTCTAACTTCCATTGATTTTGGGAGTTAGATCTCTCGGTGCTTTTGAAAAAATCCCACTAGATGCTTATCTGCATTTTTAGGCACCTAAATACCTTTAAAATTCTGACCCAAAGAAAATACTGATTAGATGCTAAATTTCTTAAAGGACCAAGTTTCTAATTAATTATAACTCAAACGAATTCACAGGTTTATATGTACATTCTCAGCAAATTCATTCTTAAAAAGTGCTGTGAGTTTGTGGAGGAGAGATTCTTTGTTTTTACACACACAACATCCCTTACTTTACTCAACTTTAACTACGAAGTTGTAACCCAGGCCTCCATAGTTAGACCAGTACACCAGCTATTGGTAAAATGAATAAACCAATTTCAACAAGTCAGGTTAGAATTCAGGCCTGTGCTGCTGGCATCGTATACTTAGTCGAGAAATCTTAAATTAGGGGAGGCACCAACTTTGGCAGATGAGGAAATGTCCACAAGGTTATCTGCATCCCTGTGTGTGTATCTGGCTCCAATTCCTACAAAGGTACCATTCTCAACTGTTTTCAGCATGAACCATTGGGTTTTCATTCTGCCAAGCAACTGGTTTTTAAAGGGCTACGATTCTGGAGCCTTTCAGTGCTCTAATGTAGATGTTCTCTATTGTAACCACAATACCAATGCACCCCTCGGAGCTCGCTCCCGCTCAGTGCTCTGCATTCTGACTCAATGGTACTGAACGGTCCATGCTGATCACATCTAGGGCAGTTCTGTGGCTGTGACCGTTCAATACCAATGACTTGTCCTTGCACCTGGCCGGCTCAGCTGTACTGTTGGCATAGTTACGTCCCTCCGTGGGATATTTACCCACATATAGATACTCTAGTACCCCCATAAGGGCTTTATTCCCTATAGACATCCCCATCCCCATCGGGCCTTTACCCCATATCTGGACATCCCATCTGGGCACCCCATTCCCCATAGGAGCTCTACCCCCCATATGGACACCACATCGCCCATATGGGCCTTACCCCCCATATGGGCACCCCATCCCCCCATAGGGACACCCCAGCTCCTCCACAGGGGATTTACCCCCCATTTCATGCTCCACCGCCCACCCCCTGCAGACCCCGGCGCGAGGCTCCCCCTG